CTGTAGTGGTCGTCTATCACGTAGACCCCGCAGCCGCCGTTGTCGGCCGAGCCGCCGCCGCCGGCTCCGCTGCCCGGCGGGCCGGTGCTCTCGGCGATGGTCGTCGGCGGCCTCTTGAGCAGCGCCGCCTCCGCCGCCGAGCAGCAGCTGTCGGCCGCGTTCCCGGCGAAGACCGAGGACCTCTTCGCGGTCTCGATGACGCCGACGCCGATGCCCAGGCCCAGGCCGAGGCAGTCCTTCTCCTTCTGGAATAGGTGGGACGCCCTGTGCGCGGCCGCCTCCGTGTTCAGCTGCTTGGTCGTCCGCGTCCGGCCGTCCTGCAGCACCGGCTCCGGCTTGTAACCGGAGCACGAGCTGTCCAGCGTGACGTCCGTCTGGAAGGACGAGTCGAGGTCGTCCTGCCTCGCGGAGGCCGCGTTGTTGACGCTCTTGTTCGCCGTCCAGGTGTTCTTGATCATGTGCGCGTCGCCGGTGCCGAGGGTGCATACGCTGCCGCCGCCGACGCCGCCGCTGATGATGCCGCTGCCGCCGCCGCCGAGGAGGCCGACGTTCCCGATGCCGACGGTGCTGCCGGTGGATACGCCGCCGCCGACGCCGCCCATCACGCCGCCCATCACGCCGCCGCTCCGCTTGCTCATGCTGCTGTGGACCGCGTTCCGCTCGTTCTGCAGCCTGGCCTCCTCGTCGGCCTTCGCCTGCTCCCGCTTCTGCCGCCTCTTCATGCACATCACCGCGACGGCCGCGACCAGGACGAACGCCGGCACCGCGGTCGACAGGGTGGCGATCACGACGACGTGCTCGGTGGTCAGGCCGGCGTCCCTGGGCTCCGCGGAGGCGACGTGGCGGGACAGGTTGCCGGACAGGTAGCTGGCTCCCGACGGCGGCACCGCCGGCACCGTGTTCGACGGGGACACCGCCGAGGCGGCCACGTGGTCCGGGTAGCTGCCGATCTCCTCGGCGCAGGTGTCGCCGTGCCAGCCGCCGGGGCACTCGCAGATGAAGCCGTTCAC